TTTTAGTAGAGACGGGGTTTCACCATGTTGACCAGGATGGTCTCGATCCCTTGACCTCGTGATCCACCCGCCTTGGCCTCCCAAAGTGCTGGGATTACAGGCTTGAGCCACCGCGCCCGGCTCTAAGTCTCTTTTTTATCACAATAGTATGGATAGGCCTGGGAGCCTGATTTAGTAAGCTTATAGTACAAAATCATTGAATCATAGTTAAAATTATTTAGTCACAACTATCTACTGAGCTTGGGAAGCTGTAGAGGATACACATTTAGACAAGTTTTAATTTTTAAAATAATGTTAACATCTCGTTTTGGAATTTTCAGATAGGTATGTTCCTAATTTACTAAAGTCACTAAGATCTCAGAAAATAGTTTATATTTGTTGTGGAGAAGATCATACTGCTGCACTAACCAAGGTATTGTACTTTTAAAACTTCTTGATTATTACTCATATTTCTTTCATAATTAATGAATGTTCTCATATTTTCTCAAGTTTTAACTTGAGTATTGCTGGTGTTTCAGACATAATTTATCTGGGAAAAAACTTAGACTATTCTTGAAAATAATTTACCTTATTTTTCAACTGTTTTATGTTATGAAATGTGAATTCTGATATACTATTATATGTGATAGTATATATTGCCGAATTTCTCAGCTTTATATGACATACTGCTTAAATCATACTTTGAATAAAATTATTCCATTTTAATTCATTAGTCTCATCATGCTATACATGTATCAAGCCCATTTGTATTGTGTAGCTCAGCCTAATTTGAATTTAGTTTCCGTTTTGCTTTGAATATTTCATATAAGCAATAGAGGAGACTGAATCTCTCTGTTATTCATTGGCCAAGTACTGTGCAAACAGTTACAGCAAGCTTTCATCACAGTCTTATCAATTGCTTTAACTCTGACCTCTCATTGTCTTGGGTATGTGCCAATTGAGTGTCAGTACTGTTTAGTTCTCTAGTGACTGGAAGTTAGATGAAAATGAAAGCATTCAACTAACCTTTACCAGAGAATTGAAGTTACCTGGGTGTGCAGTGGCAGGCACCTATAATCCCAACCACTTGGGAGGCTGAAGCAGGAGAATTGCTTGAACCTGGGAGGCGGAGTTTGCAGTGAGCCGAGGTCACACCACTGCACTGCAGCCTGGGAGACAGAGTGAGACCTTGCTTGGAAAAAAAAAAAAAAATTAACTTCTAATCAGGCTTTAAAATGCTGCACTCTTATTTTTACTTGGGAATTTTAGTAGGGCAAGAATTCTTCGTCATTGTCAAATATAGTGAACTCAATGCACTTTAAAAAATATAATGACTAATTATGAAAGTTAAAGTATTTTGTATTACTTGCCTTTCAGTAAGGAAGGATCATTCTACCTGCCAATCTTATTATTAGGTTGGTGCAAAGGTAATTTCGTTTTTTTTTTGCCATTAATGGTAAAAACTGCAATTACTTTTGCACCAACCTAATACCATATTTTATTGATTTTGGCATTCACATTACAGATGTAATCACTGAAGTCTTATTTATTCCTGTTGGCAAGTTTTAAATTTTACTCATCCTGTTTTGTTATTGGTATTTGGAAGAAAGAAGGCTATGTAAAAAAATAATAGCAAAAATATTTTTTACCAAATATAAAAAATATTTGTTGGGCCGGGCGCGGTGGCTCAAGCCTGTAATCCCAGCACTTTGGGAGGCCGAGGCGGGTGGATCACGAGGTCAACAGATCGAGACCATCCTGGTCAACATGGTGAAACCCCGTCTCTACTAAAAATACAAGAAATTAGCTGGGCATGGTGGCGCGTGCCTGTAGTCCCAGCTACTTAGGAGGCTGAGGCAGGAGAATTGCCTGAACCCAGGAGATGGAGTTTGCGGTGAGCC